CTGGCCCAGAGAGTTGTGGGATTTTAGAGCTATTTCTTTTCTTTTAAAAATTAATTTTCCCCTCATTTTATTAAGAAGTCATTGACATCTGTCACTGCCTGGGTTCACAGAGATGCTGGGAAAAAAAGAAAGGAAAAGTAACAGAGGAAAAGAATGTTCTCGTGACAGGAGCTCTCAGGGCCTGGCCCCCTCACGGTCCCATACGTCACCCGGCAGCGCGGGCTGCGGTCACCATGCTGGCCACCACACCCCAGGACCTCCCGACCTGGTGCCGGGAGTTTGCCCCTCCGGGCCCCTCCCTCCAAGTCCCCCTGCCCCCGCCACCGGCAACCACAGTGGTCTGACCTCTTTTTCTGAGTTTGGATGTTTTGTTTTTCTTTTTTTTAAGATTCCACAGCTAAGTGAGATCACATGATATTTGTCTTTCTCTGACCAAATCTGTCTTGTCTCACTTAGCGCGATGCCCTCAAGGTCCGTCCACGGCGTTGCAGGTGGCGGGGCTTCCTCCTTGACGGCCGGCGGTGCTCCCGCGCATGCGTTCCCCACGGCTTCTTCCCCCGGCGTCCGTCCGTGCCGGGGGCCATTTCTGTCACCACGTGCCTTAGTTGTCTCAGGCGAGCACCTGCTTGACGTGTATTGATTGAGCTGAGCTGCATGTCCCAGCCTTGTCACCCTCGGACCTGACTTCAAATGCTCCGGGTTATCAGAAGAGTTAGCAGCTTCTAGTTTTTCCCGGAGGTCCTGTGTTTCACCTCTCACCGTCTCAGGGGCTGCCCTCTGGGCCGTCTCCAAGGGTGCCGTGTCCTCCAGCCGTGAAGCACAGATGCGGAAGGCCACTCTCCGAGGAGCTGAAGGGACTTTTAGGGTTTGACACTGCCAGCTCGGCTCTTCGGAGCCACGCCATCGGAATCCTCCTCGCCCCTGTCACTCTTACAAACTAGTTCCTGCTCCCAACGTCCTGTGAGACCGTCCCTCGCGGTCCCTTTCCTGTTTGCCCACCTCCCTTCTTGCTCGTCGTGGGGGCTGTGTGGCCCAGACTGCCCGTCCAAGCACAAGGGAGGAGAGACGGTGGTGGATCAAGAGCCCAGGACGCAAGTGTCTGGACGTGGAGGCCGTGTCTCGAAGGCAGGTTGGGCCTTCTCGGCCTCTCCCTTGCTGTCCGCCCCCGCCGGCCCCTGACCTTCAGTCCGGCCTCGCCCTGCGCTGCCCGTGCTCGGGAGAAGCTGGCCTCCGGGGCAGCGGGAGCTTGCAGGCACGAGCCGGGCTCTGAAGGGTTAAGGCCGCGACCGGTGGACGATGACGAGTTATCTCTCGGAGGATTGGGAGTTATCTCTTGGAGAGCCCAGCAAGGCGTCCTCCCGGGGCCTGCACTCCCGCCTCACATGACCCCTGGCCGCGGCCACGGGTAGGGAAAATAAAAAGAGGGAAAAAAAAGAAAAGGGCTTTTCGAAATAATTTAAGAAGTTTTTGCAAACACTCGTGTTTGGATTTAGCTGCGAAATAATTTAAGAAGTCTTTGCAAACACTCGTGTTTCGATTTAGCTGCGAAATAATTTAAGAAGTCTTTGCAAACACTCATGTTCTGATTCAGCTGCGTGAGGCCAGGGCCACAGCAGACCCCCAGAGGCAGCGACCAGCTGGGAACTGGGTAGAAAAACAGGGATCCTGGCCTCCCCAGCATCCAGTGTTTTTGGCGGGGGCTGGGGGGACCGAACCGGATCTCGGCACCGTGATTTCACGGGCAGAACAAACAGTAATGCCGTGGGCGCCAGCCAGCTGCCCCGGGGGCTGCAGCGGCCTCCGGCCCTTAAGTTGTGCTCGTAGCTTCAACCGGAGTAAGAGGCACGACACGGAGTCACTGGGCGGGACCGGCCTCCGATGGAGGGGAGGGCTTGGGGACACGGCGAAGACAGCTATGTCTTTAAGGCCGTCTTATGGTTATACATATTTTTTCTTCTATGAATGGGTTCTGCTGGAAATTACAGCTTTGCCCGCGGTCCCCTGGGTTAAGAGAAATAGTCTCTCCGCAGAAGACAGCTCTGATTGGTGACTTTCCTCCTTCCCTCCCAGCCCCCTTCCTAATTGAAACCAAATGTGCAGAACGCTGGATGCTGGGACCCCTGGCGCCTTCCCAGGAATCCTCAGAATGCGAGGTTTCTCTCAAAGGCGTCTTGCATCAGCCTGCGGTGAATGCCCCGCCGGGCTCCTCCGCGGCACAGCGGAGACGGGCGCTCCTCGACCAGTCTTCCGGGGCCGGGGGCGTGTGGGTCACCTCCGTTTTCCTCCGCCCGCAGCTGTGCACTCCTGCAGGAGCGTAAGTTACGCGTTTTCTTTTCCTTCGTGCGTTTCTTTTCTGAAAACGAAAGCGCTGAGTCTCCATCTCCCGGTGTCTCAGAAAAGTTCACAAAGGAAGGGGTTTCGGGTCAGGGAGGGAGGGAAGGGGCTGGGGCGCCATCGCCCCAAGGAGTCCACTGCCTTACGTTTGGGGGGGCCGGATTTACGTGGTGGAGGGCAGAATACAGAGCGCAAAGTCCCTAAGAAAACGCAGGCGAAATCAAGGCCCCACGCAGCGGCCGGCTCCAGCCAAGGCCTTAGCGCAGGCGGAGGCGCTGGCGGGTGGGCCGGGCTGCAGTTTGGGGTCCTGGGTCTGGGGAGGACAGCTTCGTGTGCCTCTGCTGTCCAGGGGAGTGGCCGGCCGCTTGTGAGGAAGGCAGCGTGGGCCGAGGGCTGGCTGCGGCCTGTGGCGCCCGTGGGGCCCGGGGGCCGGCGCGGGGGACAGGGCGGCCAGTCCCGTCCTCCATCCTGGACGGCCGCCTCCCCTTTGTTATCGAAGGCTCGGGGCCGTTGGCAGTTGGGGCCGCAGAATCCCGCCGAGGGAAAGGAGCGTTCTTCCAAGTGGGCAGTGTCAGGCGCCCGCCCGCCTCTGGGGCCCGGCACCATCTTGGTGACTGCTGGTCGTCTTACCCGCCCGAGGGGAGCACGGATTCCTGAAGCCCCCCGGCCCTCCCCTCACACCTGCGGGGAGCGAGGCGGCTGGCGCCCCCGGAAGCGTAGCGGAGGACGACACCGGGGCCTCGGCCGCGGGGCTGGCGCCCGTCCCAGTCCCGTCCACGTCGCGGCCGAGCCCCGGGCAGTCACTTCTGGGACATTAGCTGGCAGGACACGGTGGCCCCTGGCTGGGGTGGCCGCGTGTGGGAACAAGCGAGCACTGGCGGCGGGCGGCAGGCCCCGTGGGGTGGGGACGTGGAGGCCAGTGGCGGAGCTGGCTCAGGGAGCCACAGACGACGAGCTCGACACGCGAAACCCGCGTGTGCGTGTGCGTGTGCGTGTGCGTGTCTGTGCGCGTCTGCGCGCATCTGCGTGCGACTCGGGCACGTGCTTCTTTTGCGTTTCATCTTTTATTATTTTCATCGAGTAGGACACATGACCGGGTGTTTGTGCAGTGGCAGCTGGCACGGCCCGCGGGGTGTCAGGCCCCGTCTCTGCCAGAGGCGCGGCGGCACTGCAGTGTGCGCCCAGGTGTGAGGAGGGGCTGCTTTGTGGGTGCTATGTGCTTTGTGTGCACCCCGCTTCGAGCTGTGGAAGAGCCGGGACCCTCCGCCGGGCAGAGCCCCTGGCCCTGTCTGCGCCCCGGCTGCTGTGTGTGGCGAGAACCACGGCAATGCTTCTCCGCGTCGCTGCTTCAGGGGACACTGGCCGTGGTTTGTCTGAAGGCCGTGAAGGGCCCGAGCACCCGGGTCTCATGGTGGCGGTCACCCAACGCCAGACACGATGCGAGCAGCCGCTGCCATGCAGCCACGTGTGACACCGGTCCCCGTGCCCGCTTCCGTGAACAGAAGCCACCCTCTTGGTGCTCTCTGACATGGGGCCCGGCGAGGCCGTGGTCTTCACCCCGAGGGAGCCGCGGGGGCTGCGGACATGTTCCCATGTCCCCTGCCTGGGTCTGCGCTGCGTCCGGCAAGGACTCAGGCAGGACGCGTCCCCCGCTTCTCCCCGTGAGCTGTCACGGACCGAACACTCACAACCTCGCTTCGCGCAGAGGCGTCTCCAGTCTCTTTTGGACACAGCTGGTATCTGGTGTCCCGAAGAAGCACGGGAACAATCGTAAGGAACGAGACGGGGTCGTCGCCGAGTGCTCTTACGCTTGGCACAGCCTCGTTTCTCTGAGCTCGGTCCCTGGTGGGTGGCGAGTGGGTGAGGGGCCGAAGGGCTTCGTGCAGCCCTTGTATGGCCAACGGCCATTGTCACCGCACCTGTCCTCAAGCTCACTCAGCCACAGCCCCTCCGAGCTACCGGGAAGAGCACGACGGTGCTGCTCCCAGACACATTCGGGGCCGACCTTGCGGTGAGGGGACGTTGCTGTCACCCCCGCGACCCCACGGTCGGCCTCGGGAACACGTCCACCCCCTGCGCGTGGGGCTCAGGGCTCCATGTTCAGTGGGGGTGCGTCGGGCACAGAGGTGCGGGCGGTGGGGGCAGCCATGGGCTGTGAGGGAGCACACTCTCGCCGCTCGGCCTCGCCGACCAGGCCTTGAGGGGGACGGTCTCTATGGGCTCGGGGTCACAGCGGAGCCACTTGCAGACGCCTGATAGGGAGATGCTCTCAGCTCCTGAGGCTGGTCGGTGACTCAGACGTCACTGGAACGCGTGCAGACGTGTAACCGGCTCGCGCGTCGTCGGCCCCGGGTGCAGTGCCACCTCCGCAGACCTGTCGTGCTGAGTGGCTCTCCCTGCGAGTCGGTGCCACCGTTTGCTGACGGCCATCCCCCCACCCCATCCTTTCCGTGGGCCTCGGGTCTCGGGGCGCCCCGGACCGCAGGCACTAGGCTCCGCCAGGCTGGGGACGGGACGCCTGCTTCCTGTCCAGCGTTTAGCGGCCATCCCCGGTGACCCCGTTGCGGGCACTCTGGGGGCCCCGGGGACCAGGGTTTTCAGCCACCCCGTAGCTTGAGGACCTGTTCGCTGACAGCTTGTCCGGTAATCCGGGGAATGAAGGAAGGAACATCGTCAGGAGGTGAAGTGGTCGTGGGAAGCCCGCGCCTCTGGCCAGACCCTTGGGAAATGCAGAGGTGCAGGTTTCAGCACCCTGATTGGCTCCGTGTAGACTCCCCGGAGGCCGGTCACAGCGACAGCCCGCGAGGAGGTGGCGGAAAGCACAGCTGTCTGCAAGAAAAAGCATGGCAACTCTCGGGCCCTGAGAACGGGCCAGAATCGACCTCCTCCCCATTTCCTAAAACCAAGACTCGTTGGCTAGAGAGGCCTGAATGCCCCCGAGAGGCGCTGTCGTCCCAGTGGTTATTAGACGTGAGTGTTCTACTTATCTCAGTCCTGGGGTCAAGACCGAGTCGTTCCTTGTCCAGCAGGCGGCCTTCTGAGAACTTACCAAGTGCCTGGGACAGAATGGGGCGCAGGCTCGGCCCCTCCCGAGTTTGCCAGCAGCTAGAAAACCCAGGAGACTGACCGCAGGGGAGCAGGGGAGGCGGCGTGGGCACAGACGGTCTGCCTGCCAGGGACCAGCTGCAGCCGGAAGCTGAGCAGCAGCCAGGCGGCCGGGACCAGGACAGGCGGACGGTCGGGGTGCCCGCGTGTGGAACATCAGGGTGGGGAGCAGGGAGCCCCTGCACAGGTGTGTTCCTCGGCACTAGGAGCGTGCCAGGTGTCGTGGGGGTGGGCGTTTCCTTGCCTTAGAGCAGGCGAGGGGCTGTTTTGAGAAGACCCAGGTGGCCGGCAGGCCAGGTGGATTTTCAGGAGGCTGCTGCCCGGTCACGTCCAGATGCAGAGTGACGGGGCTGGGACCAGGCGGAGCAGTGAGCGGGGACGGGCTGGAGCGGCCGCAGAAGTGGAAGGACACACGTGAGCCGCTGTGGGTGCCCACGGAGGCCGGAAGCAGAGCGGAGCTGGCGTGATGGCTGAGACGGCCCGAGCCCCTGAACCCCGCCCCCCGCAAGAACCCCGAGTTGGAGATGCGTACCCTAAACTCAAGACTGGACCCCAAGCCAAGGTTCCTTGGACGGCTGTCCCCCGGGGTCGTTGGCAGAGCAGGTGGCTCTGGTTCTGGAGAGCGCAGAAGTGGAAGGACACACGTGAGCCGCTGTGGGCGCCCACGGAGGCCGGAAGCAGAGCGGAGCTGGCTTGATGGCCGA